CAGCCGGAGCAGACAGGAAGTGCGAGGTCTCTTTTAATAAAACAATAAACAATAAATGTGTACCATATTCTTGTTCATGGAAAAATAAGACATCTCCTGAAAATAAGACTTAGCGCATCTTTGGGAGCAAAAATTAATATAAGACACTGTCTTGTTTTCTGGGAAACAGGGTTTACCTATAAGCCTCTGAAAATTCTTGAATTAGCTTGTTTCTGAATTTCCACAACTCTTGACTTAGAAATTGATGACTATGCCAGCCCCGACCAATAGATGGAGCCTAAACAACTACAAAGCACAGTTATGAATTTCCAAGCAGAAGAGCCAGGGAACTACCTGCCCTGCAAAGTGAATAGCTGCATGTGACACTCCTGTAGCAGGTGTTAGTACGCCTGGTATATACGAGCAGGCAGCCCATCTGCCAGCTCCAACCATTCACCATTGACCAAGAGCCTCCCGGGGTATTTTGTAGATACTGCAAAACTGAGAGTATTTGAAATGTTTGTAAGAAATTAAGAGTAATCTGCAAATTTAAGAAGCTGGAAAGTTTCATGTGATCGCAATTAAATAAGTGTTAAAACAAATGAAAGAAGCAAAATACAGGCACCTCCTAGGGCATGGTTTTAACCCATAGAGTTATTTTCTCACACATGTGCCTTGTTTGCAGTTTACTGAATCAACTGACTAATCAGGCCTTGTGGGCCACCAGAACTTATTCAAGATGAGGAAAATGTGGTTGATTTTAGGTTTCGTGGAGTCAGTGACAACTCATAATGCCCCTTCTCTAGAGCCACTGAGGACAGCGCCCATCAGCGCCATCCTCAGTCAGCCCGTTGTCAGAGCCGGTGCCAGTCCGTCTCACTGAGGAGCTCTCTCCTGGTCACCGAGCTTCTAATTTTGCCAGACATGATGGCCCTTTCCAGGACTCGCCCCCCTCCCTCTCCTGCCCCATAACATGTCCTAAATTTACAAGACAAAAGTCTCACCACCCTCACTTCTAAGGAGCAATCTGGCTAATCCCTCAGCAGTGGACCACCTACTTCTATTTCCTCTCTTTGTTAACTGCACCCTGGATGGCCCTGCTGGGATTTGACATAGCTGGGATTTGAAATACCAGTGGAATCCTCCCCTCATCAAAGCAGCTTGCAATCTTCCATGGTATGACAACCCGATTGGCAAGTAGTGGGAGGAAAATCTAGGCCTCTACTAAACTTTGGTTTAGAGTAATTAATGGCAGAAGAGGAAAAGAAAACAATGCTAAAAATTCGATAACCATGAAAATTGGAAGTAGTATCATGCCAATCAAATAAAGATTATAACTGGCAACACCCATCCACTAATGCTCATCAATGTATACTAGCCCCTTACACTTTTTTAAATCTCTACTTTTATGAAAATGTCAGGCTAAAAGCCTATGGATGAATGAGGAGATTAGGAATATATTCCTAGGTTGCAATCTCTGAACAATAATAAGCAGGAGTAAGTCTAGACGCGTTATGCTAGAGCATGAAATGTTTAGAATTTAATCAATTTTTAAAAAAGAAATAATAAAATTAAGCTCTGATTACAAAGTTCCAGCTAATGGACTGAGCTAACAACATATAAGAATAAACGTGAAAATTATTTGTATGAATTAATAGACATCAATGGGGTTCAAGTTGAGTTCAAATTTTACGAATCACTAAACTATGTAGATTTTATATCTTTTTGTATTAAAATTTGAAGAGCAGAGTTTAAAAACCTGAAAACTAGAGAAATCATGCAAATGTGACATTTGAAAGGAGAATCACTTTTTTTTTTTTTAACTCCTGTAGATACTAGAAGAAATTTGTCAGAAAAATAATTGGGGACAACCAGTGTACCAGCTGCACACTGCCATTGGACAGGACCAAAGACAACTCTTCTTGTACAAAATCACCATTCCTGCTCTGGCCAGCCAGAACCCTGCAATGTGTGTACCTCCTCCAAACGGCTGAACATTGAGATTTTAGAATAAGAGTTGTTTGTGAATGAAGTGTATTCAGTCACTTGATATTAAAATCTACTGTGGTATTTTTTAATTTAAATGCAAACATTGCGACATGTCATTGGGATGGCTGTGCTACCTATAAGGGTGGCATCCACCATCCAACCAGGACCCCTGATGGTGTAGTGGTTACGGGTTGGGAGGCTAACCTAAAAGCCAGCAGTTCAAAACCACCAACTGCTTGGGCGGAGGGCAGGGGAGGGAAACCAGTTTTCTACTCTTGTAAAGAGTTGCTATCTTAGAGACCAGTTCTACCCTGTCCTAAGTCAGAAGCTGAGTTTATTCATCTCCAAGAGCTAGCAGGAACTTAGGTTTACACCTGATTCTGTCGCATAAGTTTAAAATGCTTTCTCTGACTGCCTGTATTTTATAGCCACCCTTTCACGCCTCCAAAGCTAAGTGCCTATGTGGATGAAGCCAAGACATATGCGGCAGAGCACACCTTGCAGGCCCTCGGTATCCCCACTGATGGAGCCGAAACAGCAGCGGCGGCAGCTGTTGCTTCTGCTGCTGCCTTTCCAGGTATGGACATATTTACCAGAAGCAGGATCTTGCAGGGGTGTTTGGGAACTGCTCCGCGGTACCATAACCGCTGATGCTCGTTTCCGCACTCCATTTCTAATCATTCCAGCACGTACCTTCTGTAACCAACAAGTCTGACAGAGTGAGCCATTCAAGTCTGTGAGACAAGAGAACTAGGCTGGGCAGCAAAAGTGGGTTCTGACCCCAGCTCAGTTTTAAGCAACTTCATCTTGGGACAATGAAATCTCTCTGTGTCTGGTTTGTTTTTATTTTATGTTTTTAACTTCAGGTAAGCGAATTTTGGGTAACCTGCAAATAGCTGATATTTTCTTGAGCTCTTATTATGTGCTCCAGGCCTGCCTGCTTTATATTCTCTCCCCATCAAATGACTGAGATTTTGTTATACAGGCTATTGTACAGACAACGAAATGGAATATCAGAAAGATTTAATAGCTTTCCATAGCTCAAACAGCTTTTAAATGATCCTTGGGCTCCCTACCTCCAGTTCTAATCTTCTATTGTACTTTGCTTTCTGAAAGAAATGTGTAGATCACAGTTTTCTTCAGCTGTTTCGAGTACATGTGATAGGAGAGAGAGACAGATCTTTTCAATAGGTGAATAACAGGCCCCATTGATCTCTTCTGTAATTTGAGTTGGGGACATGTGCTGATGGCCTGACCTATATCTGAGGATCAACATGCTCCCATTAAAAGGACTTTCCCTATTTATTATGTACCCACCATAAATGCAGATAATTAAAAAGTGAACCTACTAGAAATTAAAGGGGACTAGGCATACACACAAAAATCGGTTTCAGAAATTCTTCCTCAGCAGGTGGAGCGATTGCATTGTTCTAGGAATGAACTTGTCTTTCGGGTTGTCATCCTGACTTGTCACTGCATCAGCAGGATGCCCATACGGCAAATTAGTGAGGTCTGACCAGACCTAGAAAGATGACATTCCTGTGGATTGGTTAATTCATATGTTGGTTGGGTGTCGGTTATGAGAACTTCATAAATCACGTCCACAAAAACTTGAGTTGGTTTCTGTTTCATTTCTCAAAAATTGCAAATGTCTCCTGGATGCCAGCAAGTGAGCGTGACACTAATCCTGCTGCTCGTGTGACTGTGACCTCATTCTTGCTGTGTCCCTGGAAGAAAAGGCAGCCCTGTGGCAAGTCTCTGGACCGTTGCCCAGGCAACTGTTGACACCGGGGAGGGTAACCCCCTCCTTTCGGCAGCGCTAGGACCAGGCTTGCTTTCCGTAGAACTGGTGTTCCAATGTGCATGGGGGGGCTCACGCCACCATCTCTGTCTTGGAGGTAAAGTCCCTCTCTGGCAGAGCGCTGCACTGGAATGTATCTAAACATAACTGAGCCTCTGTCAGGCTGTCAGGGGGATTTTAAACTTGACTTTCACACTCGAGAGGATCTGCTTTGACTCAAGAAGATGTCATGTTATGCTCACTTCTGTTCACTCCTGCAAGAAGTTGAACCTATTGAGGGCATGAGAGTTGTCTTGGGAATGATGGGGAATTGGCAGGCTTCTGGAACAACTCTCCTGTGGAGTCAAGCAGAGCTCCGGGGCTCCAATGGAAGCATCTTTGTGAAACACGAGTCCCTTGTGATTCAGAAAGTAGACAAAATCAAGTATAAAATTCCCAGAGATAAAAATGTTTGATACACACAGTACTTACTTTAGAATTACTGTTTACCAAATGATGACAGTAATTACTAACACATTTTCCATTCCTTAGAAAATGTACCAAACATCAATAGAGTATTAGTCAGCATCACTGCCCAAAGTGAAGAAGCCAAAAAGTGATTTAAAAAGATGGTGTTTTTTGTTTTTTTTTTGGTCTAGCCAGTCTCCTGTCGCCTTTTCCACAGAAGCTACCAGATATAAGACAAACAAAAACAAACAAACTACTGTGTTCGGCAGACTTCCACAGCACATAAACCCAATGGATCATTTTAATCAGATCTCTGCTCACTACCGAAGCACACGTCTTCCTGTTTCTTGTCATTTTTCACAATTTTCGGATAGCCTCCAAAACATCCAAGTTTGAGTCTAGGGAATTTATAGCCAAAAAAAAAAAATTTGCTTTTGAGCAATAGGAATTACATACCCTCCTTCCAGAGTGAAGATTCGTTTAATTGGGAGGAAATGTGTGATATGTTTATGATAAAAAATGAACAGCTGCTGAAGCTGCCTATGCATGACGGGATTTGGTTCCTTGGTTTAGAAGTGTAGGGCCGTGGTCCCATGGGACATCCTAGTCAATAAACGCACTCACTGCCAGCGAGTCAATGCTGCCTCATAACAACCCCCAGTGGGTTTCCAGAATGATCTTCGGGAGTAGGAAGCCCAATTTTTCTCCTGAGTCGCTGCTGGTGGCTTCAAACTGCCAACCATGCTGATCGCAACCCAGAACATCACCACGACACCAACAGCACTCCATATCCCATTTAATAGGCCTAATAAAGTATTTAGTATTTCCGGTCTACATCTTAGTTTATTGTGTAGACCTGGGGCTTGCAACAATCGGGCCCAACAATTGGCCTCTACTTACCTGGAGCAACCAAGGGAAAGGGAGGGACGATACGAGAAGGCAGATATGGACGGTGAGGCTAATTGCCTCCATGACCAACTGCACCTCTGTCATCCAACCAAAAAACTGCATGGTGTCCAGTTACTCTCACAGAGCCTGTGATCCAAGAGTCCAGAGCAGAATCCCGATCAAAGGGTGGAAAATGCAGTGCAGAATGTTAAATTATCAAGGAGACGAGACTTTATGGAGTGATGGACGATGGATAGACCCTTGAAACTACTGCTCTGAAATCATCCTTCCACCACAGAAGCCCCTGCCACCTAACAAGAGTTTAGCTGAACTACTGAAAATGACCACCTTGACTATGTCACTCCTTTAAGAACTCTTTACAGGGGACCAAATTGACAACAGCACTTTGGAAAACTAGGGGACAGTGAGTTTGTGCTACCGAGGGAGGAACCACTCAGAAAAGGAGGGTGAGAATGATTGCCCACCTCAAAGGACGTCATCCCTGGCCCTAGCCAGTCCGTGAAGAATGCTTTGCGGTGTATGTTCCCAACAAAAACAACAAAATACACAAAATTTAGGGTGGAAGGTGAAGGTCAATCAGCTAGACACGATATGAAAATGGAAGACCACGCGTGATTTCCTTGGCTTGCCAACCCTTGGGCTGTCAGAGCAGGAGCTAACCGCATCACCTCTGAATCCACAGAGAGAGGCTTCTTGCTGGGTCCAAAAGAAGGGGCTCTTCCCATCATGGGATCGGGCTTTCTGTGGTCAAGTTAGGTCATTTTCCTTTCATGCTGTTATCTACCAACAGAAGAAAAACGTTTACAGAAGTTTCCCTACTGGGGTCCCTACTTCTACACCTTGATCGCCCACCTCAATGTTTGTATGTCTCTACTTGTGAGAGTATTCCGACACAAGTAACTTCACCCAGTTGGAGAATCCTGGTTGAGGATTTTCAAAGGTGGAGGTTTTATTCTTTGGAAAACACCTTTTAAAGTGTCCAGTTCAATTCTTAACGTTAAGCAATGTTGCATTGTCACATTGCTAGCAGACGCGAAGTCCTAAGTGAGTCGATTTGAGTCCCTTTCATAAACAAAGCTAATCCTCTGCCTTCTTCTCCAGGATACGCGGTCCCGAATGCCGCCGCGCCTGTGTCTGCAGCGCAGCTCAAGCATGCGGTGACCCTGGGACAAGACCTGGCAGCCTATGCAACCTATGAGGTCTACCCCACCTTCGCACTGGCTGCCCGAGGGGATGGATATGGAACCTTCTGAAGATGGCTTTTGACTGAGGACGGAGACCCACAGAACTCCCTGTGACAGAAATGTACCTCTACGGCAGTCCCACGGTGATGACAAAGTAGTGTTTTTCCTAAAGTCACGTCTCTCCCGAGACCATATTGCTGATCCTAATTGTAGACTCACAATATGAGAACATTCTTCCTAAGTCACATCAAATGGAAGCTTCTTGTCTGACACCAAAAGCTAAAGAGCCACTGTCCTCACAAGCTGTTCTTCCAGGGTTCTTGGATGCCCTGGGATTATGTTTGCAAATCCTCAATGACTGGGGAGGGACCTTTTAGCCAGCACGGGATTAGGGCAGATCAGTCCCTTGGCAGTCGTCACACCAATGGGAGTCAAGTAAATTCCATGGTCTTAACCCCTGGCTGCCAGAAATTTTGTGATACACAAAGGTACAGAGGAGCAAAGGGCAGGTAGTGGGACTATTCTTTTAAATTGTGTTCACTATTGACTACTCTGTGGGCGTCCGGTTGCGGACCTGAGTTCATGAAAGGCTATCGAAGATGTTATAGATTTAGCATCACTTCAGTCTGAACATTCCATCCTGTCAATTTGTTACAAATTTGGATCACCCTGTCCTCTGCAGCCCCTGAGGAATCCCCCCAGAAATTGATGTGATATATTGCAGACATGGTGAAACAAACCCTGCTTATTGTTTAGTAAACTCATCAGCCCACACACTTGCCCCTAGAACTCCCACCCAATGGTTCTCAGGAAGCCAGTTATTCCAGTTTAAAATGACTTGTTCTCAGTTTTCAAGATGTTGCCTTGGCCACCTTGAGTTAGTTCCAACCCAGTCCCATTTTGCTCAACTCCGTTATCATCAAAGATTGTCGCTCTGAGTTACTGTCAAGTTGGCTCTGGCTCACGGGACCCTATGTAGGATAGAACCAAGCATTGCCTGCTCTGGCATGGCTTCATGACTCTTGGTACATTTGAGTGCATGCTCATGGCTGTTCGATCATTCATCTCATTGGGGGTGTCCCTCATTGTTCTTGGCCCTCTACCAAATATGGGAGGAGGGAGTAAAAACAAGTCTTTAGAATATCATTTGATATTTTTCTCTACTAAACGAGTTGACTAAGAAGTCATTTCAAACAAACTGAGCAGAGAAGATTTAGTCTTATTTCTATGATCTTTCTGCAGTTCCCCGGACACCCTTCTGCCTCCTGTGTGAGTTTTAGTAGCTCGGGCTTAGCTACAGACTGTGAGATCCAACGGTATTCAATCTGCCAAGTAACCCTCTACCTTCCCTCTTACCTTAAATAAGTAGCAGGTACAAGAAGCTTGACCATATCTAAGTTCTTTGGTCTTGAAAGTACCATGGGCAAACCATATAGACATCACTGCTGAGATGAAGCTGTTTCTTCAGACACTTAGTAAGAGTGCTATTTACCAAAATCACCTCCAGTCCTAGGCCTCCTCTCCAGGAATATTTGAGACCAGGCTGTGGTACAAACACCAGGAGGCACGATTGGCTTACCAGACCTGTAAATGATTGACTTTTTTTTTTTTTCAAAAACAAAAATCATCTAAATTCAAAGCATCAAGTATTACCACTGTAGTGTTATTAATGTATTAAGACATACAGTAGAAGACGCTCCATGAGAAAAAAATAATGAAATATATATACGTGCAAAATTCCATAGAGCCCAAGGGTAAACTGAAATACGCTATGGCACAGAGAATGTTGTCAACACCTGGGTTGAATTCTGTGGTCTAAAAACCACAGTTCCTACAGACCCTCTTTGGTTCTGTTTTCTCCAATCAGGTATCAAAAGCTTGAAAGTACACCTGAAACTAGGAAAACACCTGTGCTTCCCATTTCCATTCATGTGACTTCTCATCATAGTCCAGGCCGTGGCTCCCAGACTTGCCTGCACCTAAGAATCACCTGGGGAACATTGTAAACTGTCAACGATGCACCTCAGACCAATTACATCAAAATGCCAAGGCTTTCCGACTGGCGCTGAGCATCCGTCTTTTCTAAAGGTCCATAGGTGATTCCAAAGGGCAGCTAAGCCTGGGAACGGTCCTGCTGTGTAGATTCACTCTACTCCTTGATAGTTTTCTTTCCTATTTCACTTTTGTTGGAAAACTGAAGCAACAAGGTATCTAGAGTAAAACAAATAGCCAAATCACATTTTTGCCTAAATATATCTTATTTAAAAGTATGAATCTGAATATTATTTAGAATGGCTTCAGACAGACTCATGGGCCAAAGGTAGTCAAACGAAAAATTCTCTATTAGGCACAAGTCAGCACTCCGCCAGAGACCTGAGTTTGTGTTTTATGCTCCTTACATGTTTGACAATAAACAGGAAAGGGGCATAGCCGTGTAATCGGTGTGAAATCGAAGGTGTGACCAGAGGAGTTTCAAGTTGATCAATGTGAAAAAGAAGATTTATTCATCTTCTATTTGCCTTATGAGAAAATTACTTCAGGTTAGTTTGTTATCCATTTTTAAAAGTACAAGCATAGAAACCTCAACACAAGACAATGGTCAAGTGTTATGAAGATAGCGTCTGGAATTGCCACTGCATGATTGGTGTGCAGGGGCAAGTGGTTTACTCAAGTGGCTCAACCTGGTTGGTTTGTTTCTTTCTCATCATTTCCAGAGAATGATTTTAATTCCATTAGAACATTCTAGATAATGCCCATGAGTCTACTTTCAGTAATGTGAAGCATGAATTTGAAATTATTCAGAAAGGGAGTGTTTTTGTTTGTTTGCTTTAAATCAAGCCTAGAACCAAAGGTTCACTTTGCATAAAAATTTGGTTTGGGGGATTTAAGAAATTATCACCCACTTAAAAGCTGTATCTTGTTGCTTCACCACCCATTTTCCTATTATTTCTTACTTAATTGCTTCCTAAACCTTGGTCGAAAACACTTCAAATTAGTCAGCTAGATGTGTAATAATAAAATGCCCAAACCAGTCAGTTAGAAACATCTAGGATTGGGGTTTGGAGTTTTATCAATCAGTAGCTTGAGAATGAAAATCAGTCCACTGTTATTTAAGAGGAAAGGGAACAACCATGAGTTTGGCTATCCATTTTTGCCCCCTTGTGAAAATGCTGCCTCTTCCCAAATGGCAATGTGTGTTAGTCTGGGTAGACTAGAGAAACCAGCTTAGGTGACTACCACACAATGCTTCCCTCTTACCACATTAGACCTCCAACTGTAACAAAATATTTTTCCCAAAATAATCATTTTGCTCCTACCTCTACTCTGTATCATGCCAAACCAGGTGGTGCTTATATATTCAGATTCACCCACTGCCAGTGAGCTGATTCTGTTTCATAGCAACCTGATAGAGCAGCATACAGCTGCTTCCTTGGGTTTTCAGGCTATGAATCTTTCCAGGAGCAGATAACCTCATCGATCTCCCACCAAGAGGCTCCGAGCACAGTTGGAACTACTAGCCTTGAGGTTCACAGCCCAGTGTGTAGCCCACTACACACCAGGGCACCACTAGATTTAGGTAGCATTGTCCCCCACCCTGCTGGGAAGCCACTTCAGGTTAAGGAAACAATGATGCCTGCCCCATTTGAAAAACTACAGTTCCTTTCCTTTTTGATGATGAGGTGGAAATTAAATTTTAGCTTATTTATCGATGATTGCTTGGCAAGAGATTATGTTGTTTTACTTAAAGGTATAAAACATTTTTTTCCAATCATATAGATCAGCTTTTCACAATATTTCCTCAATATGATTTCAGATGTGTGGATTTTCACTGTAATTTAAATGACTCTATTTTAGAGTTGAGTTTAGCAATCCCTAAGGATTTGGAGATTCTCCAGAATTCCATTTGTAAACTAAAAGCCAAAATAGAAAACTGGCAGTTTAGGTAAATTTTTTCAGCATTCAAAGCAAGGATGTTCGATACAGTTTATTATTGTTCAGAAACTTCAGCCCTGCCCAAGATTTCCTAAAACAAATTGACAAGTAAAAGTGAACACTGATCCCAGGTGTTTACACAATGCCACGATATTTTACCTTCTCTTTGGCCTCATCTATAAGTTCCCAACTGGGTAAAAACATATATACTTAACTAGTGATATGGCACTTTTTGTATTTTGTAAATATACTTTTATATACTGTAAATATGTTTGTTGAAAGCAAAACTTAATACAAGTATACCACTCTAAGTACATTTTGTGATAAATACTTTTTAAAAGAAAATATTAAGGTCACCCCTCAGTAATCTTAATATAGCTATTGGAAGACAGAAAGGAATTAGGTGACAAGCATTTTTATCCAACTACAACATTTTCCCACAGAGAGGACAGTATCCAACTGAGTTTAGTGACCCAGTTAAAGTGATTGTTGGATCTGTTTTCTTCATTATGCAGGCATCTTGAAAACTTCTGCATTTCTTAGAACATGTTCATAAAAAGCATAAATACATCCATCAGGCTATGCTTGTATTTGCTTTACCAATATTGGAATTTTTCTGACCTCCAAACCCTGCCTCTTTTTTTATAGACTAAAACATAAAAGTTACTTTTGAATTGATTAGATAGCAAATACAGAAGAACATTCCATAATTCCTAAAATGTATAATGTCTTAAAAGGCCAGCTTTTTCTTAGAGTTGATTTTAAAAAATGAATTCATGGGGTTACTATAGAAGCAGTGTTTATCTTGAACACTTAGATTCATTTTATAAGACTATCACTTTATGTGCCCCTAATTCTCCTTGACTCTGCAGGAAAGATAAAATAAAGTGACATACTAAAAATGAAGAGGCATGCACAACAAAACCAGAAGTGAAAAAATAAAAAAATTCAGAGACCAAAAGCCTCTAGAAGAGCCTAGAATAAACTGTAGAAGGAGTTTGCATTTGTCTCTCCTTACAGAATCTCCTCCCATTTTCTGATATTGAAAGGGAAAATCAAGAAAAAGAATATACTCGATCCCCTCTTCACACAGATATCCTTGGCAAGGGGAAGAAGAAATACCAGACACTGCAAAAATCAAATTCACGGTCATTGAGTCGATGCAGACTCCCAGTGATCCGCATATGGGACAGGGTAGACGTCCCCCTGTGAGCTCCTAAGGCTGCAATTGTTTGATGGAGGGAAAGAGCTCATCTCTCTTTGGCTGTGTGGCTGGTGGTTTCAAACTGCTGACCTTGCAGATCACAGTCCATTTCTGCCTCTAGGGTCCCATTTTAATCCAACAGCACTTTAAAATATGTCAACTACCAGCACGAACTCCTTAGAAACTGAAGAAGTATCAATCCCCCCCGCAAGGTTTAGGCGTGTCTACTTGGGTGGCAGTGGGCTAGAAGCACAAAGAACAGAGGGGAATCCACCACCTTCTCTTCCACGGTCATCCCAATCCACTCCCCATGCAGA